GGCCTGGAGACAAGACCCAGAGGCTCGCGCACAGCCTGGTGCCTCCCGGACCCCGCGCGCGGCAAGCCCAGGGGCAGCGCTCACGTCAGGGGCCAGCGCGGCCCTGCGCATCCTGCCCTGCCTGACGCTTCCCGCGCCTCCTCTCCGGACGGGTGCCGTGCTATCAGCTAGCTATCCCTCCTCCCGCTTCCCTGGGCCGCTGGGTGGCTGCTGCACCCCGGGGTGGGGGAGCCGGCTGCGGTGCTCGCAGGGGCGGCGCTTCGGGTCCCGGAGCTCCCCCGGCCCCCACCGCTTCGCGGGCGGCGCCAGCCGAACCCTTTCGCGGTGCCGGGCCGGAACCACTCTCAGCGAAACCGCGGGGATGGGCTGGGCGCCGGCAGGACCGGGAGGGGTCGAGGCGGGCGGGACCCCGGCCGACCCGCCGGGCGCGCGCGGGGGCCGCAGCTCTGCACTCGCCTCTGCCGCGGGGCCAGGCGCTGCGCCCAGGGTCGGCGCCCCCACTCCCGTGGCAGGCAGGGGCAGGCTCCGGGCCGCTGTCCGTCCGGCCCGAGGGCGGCCGGGGGGACCCGCTCCCTCCGCGCCCCCTCCCCGGTTTCGCCTTGCGGGCTGCAGAGGAGACTCGGGGCGTGGATTAGCGCAGCGCGTCCCTCCACCCCCACATTTTTTAGTGACAGGGCTTTCAAGGGTTGCTGCAGGCGAGAGCGCTGGGGTGGGGAGGGGGCTCTCTCGGAGCCCGGCGGGGGCGCGCACACAGCCGCCGCGCCCCCCTCCGAGGAGGTCGCGGGGTGCAGGGCGCGGGCCGCAGAGGTGCGGGGCGCCCTGCCCCTAGGGGGCACCAGTGCCCAGAGCGGAGGGAGAAGCCCAGAGGCTGCCAGGAGGTGCGGGTGGGAAACGGGCGGCGCAGCAGGACCCCAGGACCCTGCACGGACGTGCGCGACACGCGCTTCGCCCCACGCGTGGCGTCACCAAGGCCCTCAGAGCACACGCCCAAGCCCCGTGCATCTGTCAGAAGGAGCCAAGGAGCCACTCACAAACACGCACACACATGCATGCACACGCACACACACACACACATGAACATGTATTCGCATGTGCACACACGCACTCACAGAACATGTTCATGCACACACGCACACACATGTACTCACGCCCACACATGCACACATTCACACACGTACACGTGAGCACATATACACACGCACACCCGTGCACGCACACGCGCACACAGACACATGTACTCACCCAGGTTCTGTGAGGAACCTTCAGGCATCGAGGAACACCCTTTGAGAACCAAGTCCCTTTGTGTCTCTGCAGGTTCCCTAGTTCCTCCCAGCATCCCAGGGGTTGGCGCCAATTCCCCCAACCCACCCCAGTTCTCTTTTCTGCAGGACGGCACCATCCACCAGGCTGTGCAGCCCTGGGGACCTTTGAATCCTGCCCAGGTCATGCCCAGGACCCTTACCGCTGCTGGAACCCACTGCCCCCACCCCCAAAGCCAATGTCCCCTCTCTTTTGGCAGCCAGTGACCTCCCTGCCACCCCACCCCGAGCTCCCAGATGTATGCCCCTGCTTCCAGCCTGCTCCTTCCAGCCTCCAAATGAGATGCCCAGAAGTTTCCCATGGGCCCAGCACATTCCGGATATCACTCCGTTCAGACCCCAAAACTTCAGGTCGCAGCTTCGCTTTTCTTTCTGGGTGACACCTGGTGGTGCTCAGGGGTTCCTCCTGGCTCTGCACTCAGGAGTTACTCCTGGTGGTGCTCAGGGGACCATACGGGATGCTGGGGATCAAACCCGGGTCGGCCACGCGCCAGTCAAGACCTTTGCCACAGCACTCTCTTTCCAGCTCACGTCTCATGCCCCTTCCTCCAGGAAGCCTCCATGGAGGGGGTCCCTTCACCAGGCTCCTGCACCTCTTGAAGGTACTTCCTCATGGTCTGTGGAGTGAGGGAACCCAGGGCTGCTGGAAGTGGCGGTGGGGGTGAGGGCGCTGGCCCCTCCTGGCCGCTGTGGTCATCAAACTCCCACTCCAGCTGTGGGGCTCACACACAACACGAAACTGCACATTTCTGGTGATGGGGGTTGGGAGGTCCCGAACAGCAGGGCCACTGAACACATGCGTGGCCTGCTCTGGTCCCAGCCACAGAAGGCACGGCTGCTCTGACACCGACTCCCGGCCCAAGACCACACCCAGCAGTGCTCAGGACATACTCCTGACCCTGTGCTCGGGGGTCGCTCCTGGCGGGACCCGGGAGCCCTGTGGGTGCTGAGCACTGAGCTGGAGTCGCTCTGGGCAAGGCAAGTGCCATCCCCAGTGCCTTGGGTCAGGGCTGGACAGCTGGGGGGGCCCATCCCCCCCTCTTCTCAATGTTGGTTCCAGTGGCCACTAGGAAGTCCATCCTCCGGCCAGGACTGGCCTTGACCACCCCCCCGCCCCCCAAAGAGAGGCAGCGGCGGGTACAGGCTGGTTTATTTACAAATATACCGACGTCTTTGTGGCTTCCACTTTCTGCTTCTGTGGGGAGAGGCGGAAGGCGAGTGTGGAGGACGGGGCGGGTGGGCATGTGGCAAACGCTAATAAATAATTTAACAATGACAAGTTATTAAATAAAATGTGTCTGGGATGGCGGCGGGTAGTGCATCTGTACAAGGAAGCAGAGGCGGGACCGGGCAGGCCCGGGGGACCCCATGCCAAGGAGGGGCACCAGCACAGGGGTGTCTCCCCGGGGCCAAAGGGGGGGTCCTTCTTGCCCCCTCCCGACCCGTGTGTGGGTTTGCGTCCAGGTGAGGGCCTGGGGAGATGCCCAGGGCTCCCAGGATGGTGCCAAGGACCAGAACGGGGCCCGCGGCCTCGCTGGTCTATACACGGGACCCTCCCCTGCCTCTGTCCAGCACCGGCTCCTCTCGGGGGCTCTGCAGAGACCCCTGTGCGTCCCTCCTTGGCCCCTTCTTCCCGCAGGCCCCACCTCTGCCTCTCCTTGTGTGTCCCCAGCATACCCCTCCCCCACCCACTTGGGGCAGCCCCGCTGTGTAGGCCAGACCCCTTCAAAGCTTCTGTTTCCTCAATTGAGGACCGGGACCCCCGCAAGGCAAGGGCGGGCAGCGAGAGCCCCTCGTCCTGTGTCCCCACATCCGGGTCAGGGCCAAAGTCAGTGGGCAGTGCCTGGGACTCACCACCGTGTACGGGCGCTGCCAGCTCCCAGCCGGGGGCAGGGATTCAGGAGGTGGTGAGGCCCCAAACTGCCAGGCTGTCCCCCTGCGGGGCCCCGGGCACCGTCACTGAGAGGGTCACTGCTGGAGACACGAGCAGGTGAGTGCGGGGTCCCCTCCTGGCCAGGCTTCCCACAGCACAACTTGGGGTGACCTCCAGCTCAAAAAGGTGGGGGGTGGGGCTGGCCCCTCCAGAAGCTAGTGAGACCTAAGGGGTAGGGGTACCCAAGGCTCAGGGGCAGGGGGAGAAGCCACAAAAGTGAGGGGGCCCCCAGATCAGGAGTTCTGTTGGGGACAAGAAGCGCCTGGCTGGGGCAGGGGCCCAGAGGGGAGCTGGTGGTGTGGCCTGGTGGTTGGCGCGGAGTCCCGGTGGGGAGGGCCTTGTTGTCCCCTTGGGCAGACAAGGGGCCTCAGGTGGGCAGAGCTCCCGTATGTACCAGGGCAGGGGGTCGCTTTGGGCTCAGCTTCATCTGGGGTGCCCCTGTGAGCACTTGCACAGCGGGGGCTGAGTAGGCAGCGCCGTCCCCCCACAGACTGCATTCCCATGAGGGCAGGCAGGGGACACGGGCACCCCGCGAGGGGCAGGGTCTGATTCACATGCCACTGGTGTCACGCAGGTGCGCCCAGGAGGAAGAGCGAACCAGTGGTCACGGAACTGGGGTGCAGAGAACTCCCGGGGCCAGGGACGAGGAAACAAAGTGAGATCGCAAAGCGGGTGCTTCACGGGTCGAAACAATAAATAGTCCCCACCCTGCTGGCACCAAGACCCCTTCCGCCTCCCCCAACACACAGAAGAGAGGTGAGAGTTGGCGGCTGTGTGGACCGGAGCGGGGGCAGCGGGCTCTGTCGCAGTTGGGCAGGGCGGGTCTCCTGTTGCTGTGACCGGAAGCACTCGCCGGCTGACAGGCCACATTAAGAGAGGCAGGGGACCTAAAAGAGGGGAGGTGATGGGCTGGCTCCCGAGGGCTGGCTGATGTCAGTGGGGCTGAGTTGGCTTCCCAGCCTCAGAGGGCAAAGCTGGAGCCCGGCGCAGGGGACAGCTGCGGGAAGAAGAGCGGGAGAAATGCAATGCCCACCCACCGCCGAGGCGGAATGGACAGGAAGGAGCTGCTGACCAGTGGGAGTGCTGGGACCGGAGGGGTCTCCCCATCCCAGGAGGGGTGTGAGAACAGGCCTCGAGGTCCCTCTCCACACGGGGAGGGGAAGGCTGTGGGCCGGGGCGTCGGATCCTGCCCCCGAGTGGGTGGGGGTGCCTCAGCCCGGGCCCCTAGGAGCTTCCGGCTTCCCCCCAAGCTTCCTGCCTGCCCCTTCCCGAGAGGGCAGGGCTGCCCATGGCGTGGATGTCCGGGGGGGCTATAGGCGGGTGTACCATGTCCCTTCTGAGCTGGCCTGGGCTGGAGCAGGAAGGGGCTACTGCAGGCTTGCCCCGGGCTTGGGGCCTGGGCAGGGGGACAGGCACGGGGGGCCCTGCTGTGACCTGGGCCCAGGCCATGGGGGTGCCGGACACAGAGAAGGCGTTTAAAAAAATAGAGAGAATTTACACTTCCCAAAAAAGAGAGAGGGCGGGAGGAGGAGGTGATGGAGGCCCCCGGCAGGGCTGGGCGGCTGGTGGCTGTCCCAGGACTCCGGATCCCCGGGGGAGCCGAGCCCCTGCCCGGTCCTGTCCAGCGTGGACCCCCGCAGAGGGAGGGCACCGTATGGCTGTCTGCAGTCTGTGCGGCTGGTGGGCGGGGCGGGGGGCAGCTAGCTGGAGGCTGCGGGTTCCCCGCCCAGCGCCGCCCAGGACCCCCGTCCCAGCGTCCAAGCGGCCCGGCCGGCCCTCAGGAGGCGAAGTAGGAACTCTGCATGGAGTAGAGCCGGTCGATGGGGTTCCCCACGCGGGCCTGCAGGGAGCCCACGTCCGAGGAGCCCAGGAAACAGTCGCTGAGGCTGGTGAGGGAGGTGTCGCTGTCGATGTCGTGGAAGATGGAGTCGCTCCCTGCGGGGCAGAAGGTGGTCAGCAGGCCACGAGGCGAGGGCAAGGGGTGGGCAGTCGGGGGGGGGGGGGGGTTGTGTCTGAGGCTGAAAGTCCTGGGTTGGGTTCCTGGGGCGGGGCGGGGAGCCGGGGAGGACACCCCTGTCCCGTCCAGAGGAGGCCGCTGGGCTGGGTGGGGGGACCTGCGTGGGCCCCAGGACAGGAGGTGGCCATCACGAGGGGGTCCCTCCCCTCCCTGCCAGCTGGGCCGGGTGGGGGCAGGGGCGGGGCGGCTTACCATAGGGGTTCATGTGGTCACCTGGCATTTGGGGTGGCGTGAGGCCCTGCTGGAAAGGGTCGCTGCTGCCATATGGGCTCTGCTCCATGGCCACGATCTGCTGCTGCGGGGGCGCCAGCGGCGTGTACGAGGCCATCATACCCTCCATCCGGCTGGACAGCACCTCTGGGGGCACAGCGCGCGTCACTGCCCACCCAGGGCCTCCCGGGGCACCTCCGCCTCTGAGAGCTGATTCCTCCCCGCCCCACCCTGGGACCTCCCCATTGCCCTCCACCCCGGCTGCCTCCGCACTCACCCCTGCCTTCCCCTTCCCTCCCCACTGTCCCCTGTCTACCCTGCCTGGCCCCCTCCCCACTGACTCCTGCCTCCCCCGCCCCGTCCCAGCTCCCCACTCTCCCCCTCCTCCACCCTCTGGGTCTCAGGCAGGAGACACTCAAGTCAGCCTGTGGGGACAGCAGGTATCCCTGTCTGAAAGCATTGAAGTGGGACATCATTTTGGTTCAGAGCAGCCCAGGAAGACTTCCTGGAGGAAGGATCCTTTCCACCCCGAGCCACTTTAAGGTCTGAGCTAGGCTGGAGCAGGTCCTGGCAGAAGGACGGTCCCCCCTGGGCTGTCTGAAGCCAGGAGCATCTTATGTGGGGAGGCTGGGGGATCCTCCTCTGGGCTGGTGGGAGGAACTAGGGGTACGAGTGGGCACAGGGGGGAGGATCAGAGGTGAGCCCAGCTCTAGGTGAGGGGATGCCCCCACCTGACGCGCAGATGTGTGCGTGTGGAGAAGGACGGGGAAGGAAGTCAATCCCCGGAACCCAAATGCTGGCAGAAATGCACCCCAAAAGCTGAGACTTCAGCCAATCCCGGGGAAGGGAGCTCCGGGTTTAAAACAGCACCTTCACCTCCCGCCCCAGAGTCCCGAATCCAGACTGCCCTTAGGAGCAGACACTCGGGGACCTCCACCACGTCAGCAGTCCTAGAGAGTCGGTCCCACCCCCATGCTCTCCCTTCAAGACCCCCAGAACTCGACACCCCAAGGGCCCTGGGAGACCAGCCCTGGGCCACAGTAACAGCATTCTGACAAAGCCCTGTGTGGACTGCCTGTGACTGACTGACCCCCTTCCGCAGCCCCACCCATTCTCTAGAATTTTCCTTTTATTTTTTTTTCTTTTTGGGTCACACCCGGCGATGTACAGGTGTTTCTCCTGGCTCTGCACTCAGGAATTACTCCTGGTGGTGCTTGGGGGACCATATGGGATGCTGGGACTCGAACCTAGGTCAACCGCATGCAAGGCAAACGCCCTCCCCGCTGTGCTATCCTCCAGCCCCTCTAGACTTTTCTTATGGCTCCCCAGTGCCTCAGTTTCCCCATCTAGGGAATGGAAGAGGCAGTGTCCTTCGTGCGGGACAAGCTGATCGGGTGTCCAATAAAAGGAGAGTATCCAGGTCCCTGCGTCTCTCCCCTCCTCTGGGTTGCCCACACTGGCCGGGCACAGGTCTCAGGTACCCTGAACTCCACTTCTGATCCCGATCCTCGCCCTGGCTCCAGCTTACCTTGGCCCAGCCGCTGGGAGTTCTGCTGCTCCTGCTGCTGCTGGTGCCTTCGCGCCAACTTCTTCATCTACAGGAGACCCAGTTGGTGCTGGTCCCTACCTCTGCAGTCCATCCCGGCCCGCCCACCGACACCACCCACTATGAAGCCCCGCCCACCTACCCCACTCACCACAAGGCCACACCCACCACACTGGCTCCACCCACTGGCCCTGCCCCACAATGCCCCGCCCCCTCATGCTGGCCCCACCCCAAGACCCCTCCCTATGTGTCCCGCCCTCTCACAGGCCCCGCCCACTGAGCTCCCGGATTCCCACGCACGCACACCCCCCAGGCCCTACCTGACCCAGGTCCATCCCTGTTTCTCCCAGGCTCACCTTCGCTCTTTGGTTCTGGAACCAGACCTGGACCACACGCACGCTGAGCCCCGTTTCCGCTGCCAGCGTCTCTCGGACCTGCCCAGAAAGGGGGAGACGGGTCAGCCTGGGGGGCAGCAGCAGCCCAGTGGGACTGGCAGGAGGCACTGCAGGAAAGGCGGGCAGGTGGGGGAAGGCCCAGGCCCCGGCAAGAGGGAGGGGCCGGCATGTACGAGGGCAGCCTCACCTTCCGGCAGGGCTTGGAGGAGACTTCGAAAGAGGCCTTGAACGCTCTTCGCTGCTGCGTGGTGAGGATTGTCCGGGGTCGCTTGGGCCTCCGGGGGTCCTTCCCGTCGTCCCCGCTGCCCTTGCTCTGGCCTCCCTGCCCCTTGGCCGGCTTCATGTCCCCGTCCTCATCCTCGCTCTTTACTGTGGAGGACATGGCCAGGCCTGTCAGGATTCCAGGGGCAATGCCTGTCCCGGCCTTGAACCCTCAGACCAGCTCCCCACTGCCCTCCTCTCCTTGGTCTGCAGGCCCTGCCTTGTCTGTCCCCCAGCCCTGACACCCGCATCTGTGCTCCTGCCAATGGACGGACACACATGTCCAGTGGGGCCCATGTGGGAACGGATCCAGAAGCCACAGATAGTACGGGGTGCCCACACATGGTCTGTGACGGCCCCCAAGCATGCACAGACATTGTGATGCTCTCTTATGAGACCATGACCAACCTGGACATGGGCCATTCAGTGAGAGGCTTGTTCTGGCCTCAGCCTCCCCCAAGCCCTTTCCTTGTCAGGGAAACCACCTGCTCCTGCTGGACCCTGGCATGCTGGGGATTGCAGCCCAGAATCAACCTTTGCTGGGGGGAGACTCAGTCTGGGGAGGAAGCAGTAGAACAGCAAATAGGACACTTGTCTTGCCTTCATCTGACCTAGGTTTGATCCCAAGTGCCCCATATGGTCCCTGAGCTCACCAGAAGTGAGCACATGCTCTGCAAGCAAGAGGCTTGGGCTCGACCTCCAGCACCACGGCGGCTCGGGCACCCCTGAGAATGAATCCCCAGATCCACCGGGTGAGGATCCCAAAAATACCAATCCCAATTCCCACCACTCTCACCCCAGCCAAACGGGCCCAGGGCAGATCCCAAGAAGAACCCCTTCTTTCTTGAAATGTCCCAGACTAAGACACACCCTGACATGTTACCCAGAAGTGCCAGTGACCTGGGAGGTCTGTGTGTACACACCTGGTACAGATAAATACGCCTTCCACTACCTCAGGCTGCAGGGGGGCCCCAGGGACTGCACCTGTGCAGCTCAGCCATGCACATGTACAGCTCACAGACATGCATATGCAGCTCACAGACCTGCACATGCAGCTCACACACATGCACACACAACTCACAGGCATGCACATGCAACTCACAGACCTACACATGCACAGATCAGATATGCACATGCACAACTCAAAGGAGTGCATACACAGCTCAGAGAGAGAGAGACACACACACACACAGCTCAGAGACATGCACACGCAGCTCACAGGAGTGCATATGTACAGCTCACTAACTTGCACACACAGATCACAGACATGAACAAACACAGCTCACACAAGTGCACATGCAGCTCACAGACATTTATTCACAGCTCACAGTCATGCACAGGTGCAGCTCACAGACATTTATTCACAGCTCACAGGCATGTACAGGTGCAGCTCATAGGCATGTACAGTCGCAGCTCACAGGCATGTAAATGTGTAGCTCACAGGCATGTACAGGCGCAATTCAAGGCATGTACAGGCATAGCACATAGGCATGTACCCACAGCCCACAGGCATGTACAGGCGCAGCTCACAGGCATGTAAATGTGTAACTCACAGGAATGTAAATGTGTAACTCACAGGAATGCATCCACAGCTCACAGGCATGTAAAGGTGCAGCTCACAGGCATGTACAGGTTCAACTCACAGGCATGTACAAGTGCAGCACACAGGCATGTGCCCACAACTCATAGGCATGTAGAGGCACAACTCACAGGCATGTACAGGTGCAGTTCACAGGTATGTACCCACAGCTCACAGGCATGTACAGGCACAGATCACAGGCATGCACCCACAGCTCACAGGCGTACACACATGCAGCTCATAGGTGTGCACACACAGGCACTCTGGCGAGCACACAGGTGGGACTGGGCAAGCAAGGGTGCATCTGAACAGGCACACATCTGTGCTGTAGAAGCGTGTGTACCCCAGACCTACTCTACCCACCATGCACACATGGCACTTCCAGGCCTGGGAGCAGGTCCTATATTGATCCCCCACCCCCAGTGTGCCTTTCTGACCCCCAAAGTGGCCCCAGGGCCTTCTGCAGCCTATTTCTCAGAAGGGCTGCTTTCCTCCCTGGGACCCCCAGGCCTGGCGTGCACAGGCTCTGGGAACCTCAAATCATTGGCCCGCAGGCCAGGTAGCCAGGGACCCAATAGCAGGGCTGGACAGCAGGATTGGACAGTGGGGAGCTCCTTGCCACCTCCAAGGGCACCAGCAGTGACAAAGTCTGTCCCGAGGGGGTTCTGGGTTGCCAAGGTCCAGCAGCCTGTCTCTTCCTGCTCCAGTCTGGCCTCCTACTGCCCTGTGCAAAGTGCTGCTATAGCCCTGGACTTGACCTCTGGAGGGCCCCGGCCAGCCGCCCCGAGCTTCCCTTTCTCCAAACCCAAAGGGCCAAGACATAAAGGGGCCACCAAGAGATGGGCTGGTGTACGTGCTCCACATGCAGGAGGCCAGAGTGCAGTCCCAGGCCCCACCTGGCCCCGAGCACCAGCAGGAGCACCACCCCCCCCAAAGCCCAGAGCAGGGAGCAGCCCCAGAGCACTGCTGGGTGTGACCCCCAAACAAAGCATGAACAGAAAAGCAGGCATGCAGGGCAGACGGGCACCCAGACACGGAACCGCGCAGGCCTCTGCGCCTGCGGCCCAGGGCTCTGGGTGCTGGACCGGAAGAGGTCAGAGGCCACGTCAGGGCCCCTTCCCGACACTGAGACAATGGTAGCAGGCTGGGACGGGCAGAGACCCCCAAGGGCAGGGCTGGAAGGGGAGCGCGGATGCATGGGGGCACATATAGGCCAAGGCCAGGGCACGCGGGTCCTGTAGGGCTGTGTGTATGGGTGATGGGTACCCGGCATAGGGGCCGGCTGTGGGCTCCGGTCTGCCTGGGCACAGACATGCGGGGCCTGACCCAGGGGTACCTGCTCTGGGCAGGGGGGGCTGGCCCGTGTGCCCGGGGGTGGGAGAGCTCAGGGGTGGGACCCAGCTCACCCGAGTCGGACTCGTCGGGGCTGACGGAGCTGAGCAGGTCCTTCTCCTTCTCGTAGTCGCCCTTGCACAGCAGCTGGCCCTCCTTGAGCACGAACTCGTCACCCTTGCGCAGCTGCCGCTCGCACACGCAGCAGCAGAAGCAGCCCAGGTGGTACACGCACTCCAGCGCCCGCATCACGAACTCGGTGGGCGCGATCTTCTCCATGCAGCCACTGCACTTGGCCGCGAACAGCCTGCGGGCACAGACAGGTACAGGGCTGGGCTCAGGCCCCTGTGGAGGTCCCTGCTCCCCGCACTCGGCTCTCCCTCCCCCCGGGAGCCCGGAGAGTGGGCACGTCCCGGACTGGGCACCGGGCATTGTACCACAGGGTGGGTTAGCTCCGAGCAAGGCAGGCTGAGACACAGTGCCCAGCGGACAGCGCCCAGGTCCTGAGCTCCCACATCCTCATAACCAACCCTCCACCTGGCAGGGCCCCTCCTCTCGGCCTCAGGGACCCCCCAGTTCCCTTCCAGGGCCCCAGGACCCCTCAGCTCTTCAACATCCCCTCCAGAATGAGTCGGAGTTTTTCTTGTTTGATTTTTGCTTGCGTGTGTGTGTGTGTGTGTGTGTGTGTGTGTGTGTGTGTATTGTGCCATATCCAACAGGGCTCAGGACTACTCCTGGCTCTGTGCTCAGGAGTGAGCCCTGGCAGTGCTCAGGGAACGCTGGATGGTGCTGGGGATTCGAACCAGGGTTGTAGCTGATGCAGCCACAGGCAGAGCAAGTGCCTGACCCCTGAAGGGCTCGTCTAAACCACAAGCCATGTCTCAGAGCACTGGCACACATCCTGGCATGCACGGAGCCCTGAGTTTGAGCTCCCAAACTGCACACCCCCAAGCACTGCCAGGTTCTTTGGTGCTCCCTGAGCACCTCTGTCCCAGAGTAGCCGTCATCAGACCTAGCACCTAGTCCCCACAGCCTGGGGACCTCCCCCCAACAGGGCAAACAAAACACACACCTGGTGCTTCTCTGGAGCCCTGTGGTCCCTTTGGAGGACACCGCACTCCTGCCCTCCTGGCCCTCTGGGACCCACCTTCTTCTCTCACCAGCTCTGTGCCCCCAAGCCAGGCCCCCTGGGCTGCCCAGTGCCGGCCCCTGGCTCCGTGCCCTTGGCCTTCTTTGCCTGGCCGTCACCATCGCCCATTTCCCGGCCCCACCGCATGGGCCTCTCCCTGCAGCATTTCCAGGCATGTGCCCTGGGCCAGCCCCTGGTCTTCATCTGGGCTCTGAGCCCACAGCAAGCCAGCGCATGGGGGCACCCGATGCCTACTGTAGAGACAAGGACACTGAGGTGGGTGAGCCAGGCCTCGGCGCAGGAAGGTCGGCTGAGCCCGGCTGCTCCGCCCCTCCGTGGAAAGTGGGTCACCCTCCACGGCGGGAGACAAGTCTGGGGGGGAGGGGGTCCCCCACCTCGGTCCAGCCTGGCCCCGCCTCTGCCCGCACCTACTGACCGCCCCTCCCGCCCTCCTCCTTGTCACGTGCCCGGCTCTGTGGGAACTCGCCTCAACCACACTTTGATGGAAAAATTTATGAAGAATCAAATCATTGCTGCTGGGAGGGAATTAAAACCATTTTTCATTCCCCGCGTCCCCGGGCCACGTCTGCGGGCGCCACCTTGGGAGCGCCGCACACATCCCATCCCTCTTTATGGCCCGCCCGCCATCACGGCACAGATTACAGCTGCAATTCTCCACTAATCGGTTCTGGAACAGACTCGGCCATAAATGCCAGGCCTGCCTCCCTTCCCGGGGCTGCCATCAGCGCCGCCCACGGAGGGCTGGCGGGGCACCGGTGGACAGGGGCCAGGCAGAGCTGTCTGCTGCTTGGACACTGGCCGGGGGCACTCCGGTGGGGCCTTCTCCAGTCACTCTTGCCACCCCTCTCCATTCCCTCCAGCAGGCTCCTATTCATCCTACAACGCCCAACTCGGACACTACCTCCTCTGGGCAGCCTTCCTGGAAACCCCTTCTCGATGTTCCCCTGAGCTTCCTTCTGGTCTCAACTCCTTTCTCTACTATAGAACAGATGCCCCGAGGCCCTGCCACAAAGGGCTGCTGCCAGGCCTCCGTGAGACCTAGCGTGTCACTCGGGGAGGGTCACAAGGGAGTACAAGGGAGTGACAAAGTGTGCTCCTGTGAGCACCTGGCCCTCCGGGGCTTCCCAGGTAGGACCTGCTCCCTCCCTGGCCCTCTGAGTGCAGGTGAATGAAGGTACAGGGGTGGCAGGCCCCCTGCAGGGGCTCCCAGTGGGCGCTGGGATTGGACGCTGGCTCGGAGGACTCCCCCCCACCCCGAATGCAGGAGCCTCACCGGAGGTCCCTGGACCGTGCAGCCACTGCAGCTGGGCCCGGAAAGGAGCCCGGCTTATGGACCTGCTGCTCGGACCCAAGACAGTCCCCACTGTCCCCGCCCCGGTCAGCGCTCTACCCTGGGCACTGGACGTGTCTGGGTCAGCAGGGCAGGGCACAGGGCACGCTGGGGAGAGGCGGGTGACCTGCATTCACAGTTGCCAGCGCAGCCCCAGCACAGGGCCAGGGCCGCCTTTGGAACAGCCGTGCTAATGCCTTGGCAGCAGGGGGTCGATTGCTACTTTCTCCAAACTCATCAACACAATCTATTATTAATACTTCTCCGAAGGCGCTGAGCCGCCATTACAGAGGCAGCGCCAGCCACTCGGGGCCTCATCTGTTATCTAGATTGCAAAAACTCGGGAAATAAAACAAGCCGCGCGCACTTTATAAACGGAATGTGCCATCCGCTGAGCCTCCAAGCATCTCCCCACCCAATAAAACATCGGGGGGGGGGGGGAATGCATGAAATACTCGCTCCCAATTACGGGGCTGCCTTTGTCTACTTGCTGGGGTGAGAGCTACTAAGGGCATGCATGGGAGGGGCTGGGGGCCAGAAGGGTCCCACTTCCCGTTGCCAGTCCCTCCCACCATGCAGGGCCTGGAACCAGCACCAAGAAGTGAGCTCCTCCAGGGATGATGGGGTGTGAATTCCAGGCCCGGTTCCACCACGTGCTGGTTGGTAGCGAGTCACTGCCTTCCCAAGCCTCAGTTTACTCGTCTGTATAATGGGCTCGGCATCCCCTCCTGCTTCTCTGGGGGATGGGGCTGCAAGTCCAGGGCCTGATGCATCACCAGCAATCTGAGCCTGAGTTTCCCCCCACCCACTCCTCCTGGTGTTGGGGGAGGGCAGGAACGGCCGAGGGGTGCTCTGTGTGTTCCCTTCTAGAAGGCAGACTTCCAGGGGGCGCCACATGACATTTTTCCCCTGAGAAAGGGGTGCTTGCTTCTGCCTGGCAGAGCACCCCCAGCCCGATTCTCTCATCTCTCGTTCACATGATTAAGCCCCGACCGAGTCAGCCTGACGTCACAAAATGCTCCCAGAAACCCACAGGTCAACAGAAGGACACACGGATGCAGAGACAGGACAGCTCAAGGTCACATGCAGCAGCTCAGATATCAGGGAAGACCCCCCACCCCAATGTCACCAAAGTTCTTTCTGCCCCCGGCAGCTCTCCCAGTGCTAAATCTCAAATCTGTCCGTGCACCTTGGGCAGGGTTGCGACAGGCTGAGTTCTCAGGGCTCAGCAGAACCCCAGAAGCTTGGCCAAGCATGTGGGCTTTTCCGAAGCCCTCTGGGGCCCCGTGGTAGGTGAAGCACCAGCCTGCTGGGTGCAGGTCTGGGCATCCCTGGGGCGTGGCCCCCAGGGACCATGACGCCTAAATGTTGGGGTGCCACAGCCAAGACCCGCTCACACTGAAGCCAGGAGTGACCCCTGAGCAGCCACTCCCGGGACCCCTCTGAGGGCCGGTGCTACCCTGAAACCTGTCAACTATGAATCCGACTCCGCCAGGCCTTCACTGGTTTGTCTGCTGAACACTCAATTTGCTAAGCTTGTATGTGAGTAAGCAAAGTTCTCAGAAACTCGCTTTCTCCCTGGGAGCTAGAGACAGTGCATCTGGGGAGGCGTTGGCATGCATGAGGCCAGCCCGGGATGGATTCCCAGTACCACATGTGGCCTCCACCAAGAGCTGCCACGTGTGAGCCCTGAGCACGGAGCCTGGGGTAAGCCCTGAGCACTATCGGGTGTATCCCCCAAACTAACCAACCAAATAATTTTGTTTTTCTGGACCAGGGGGATAGGAATGGCCAACTGAACGCATCAGTTTCTCTTAAACCACTGACACAGGCAGTGTGGATGGTCCTGTTCTCTCCAACAACATCGTCCTCCTGGGTTGTGTTGGGGAGGGAGGGTCACAGCCTCCCCTCCCCCCTTTCATCCCCCATCCTGACGTCCATAGTATATTCACCTGGACTCCTAGCTCTTTCCCACCCCTCCAAGTCCGAGACATCATCCACGTCCTTTTCTCTGAGCCTCAGTGTTCCTCTCTATCCAATGGGGCCACTGGCCCCCGAGCGGGGTTGGGGGGCTCCCCATTGGTGCCCCCTTGCCCGGCGCCCCACCCGGCCCCACGTGCCTCTGTGCTGCTCGGGGAATCCTCAGCGTCCTGCTCACAGCGCTGCATTCCGTTCCCCATTGGCTCCTGTGATGGTTTCCCCAGCCACCTGTCGGGTTTGCACCCCCAGGGTCACCCCATGCTTTCAGGAGGAGTGACAAGTCCGAGTCCCAGCACCGGGCTGGTGCCAGCTTCCCGCTGCCCCTGCTGGCTCCTCGGCACCCAGGGTTCACCTGCCTCAGTGCCATCTTCTCTCCTCTCCCTGCTTTTATTTTTGTTTGGAGGCCACACCGGGTGGTGCTCAGGGCCTACACCTGGCTCTGCGCTCAGGGGTCACTCCTGGCGGGGGTCAACCCGGATGGGCTGTATGCAGGGCAAGCGCCCTCCCTGCTGTGTGATCGCTCCAGCCAAGGGGGAACAGCTCCCCAGCTGGGCTCAGGGGTCCCAGTGGCCATTCCTGGTGAGAGCCGGACGGCTAGACAGGTCAGCCTCAGCCTCGAGGGGCAGCAGTGCCCGGGGTGGGGGCTCCCTGGCCCTCTGAGGCACCTCCCAGTCCTTCTCTTGCTCTTCTCCTTTTGCTGGTTGCTAAACTCTTCTTCATCCTTCTAGACTGGAGCTTTCCAAACGTATTTGCCCTATTGCTTCCTTCTCAGAAAAACCAAACCAAGCCACTTGGTATGGAGAGAAGAGATGAACAGAAGCTTCCAGAAAGAAGACTACAGATGGCC